GGCGAGAGTAGGTTTGCAAATAATCCGGCCTAAAGGTTTGAGAACATTGTCCAACTAATATTTTCAAATAGAATGTAGATCGATGAAGGAGTATCTTCGAAAAACAACATATAACGTTCATAAGAGAGAAGAGAAAGGCAAGAACTGCTACCTTATTACAATATCCGATCATATCAAAAATATATAAGCAAAAATAATCTATCGTACAGTGCTGCATACAGTACCCCCCCTGGTATTATTCAGTTGTAAATTTTGACATTTTTGCATTTTTTGAAAAGTATCCCGGTACTAATCAATCTCAGATATTAGATATTTGGGGTGTGGCGAATTATCATGTTACGAATAATCTGGTGACGAATATTAAGTGACAAAGAACGATTGGCTATATCCAATCCTTTTTTGTCACGCATTATTTGTCATCTAGATTATTAGTCACATGATAATTCGCCACACCCTAAATATCTGAACTTCATAGTACTCCCCTCGTATAGCACCTATCTCTTCACAAAGTACCCCCGGGGTATTATTTAATCAATACCGGTACTTTTTAAAAAAGACCGGGGTACTGTATGCAGCGCTGTACGGTATTTGTGCTTGTCCACATTGGACTTGATTTTTTAACTAGTAATACCGATACGGAACAAACTCTAAAATGGGGTTTAAAACTAATTTTAACATTTGTAGTAGTTAAAATGATAAAATAAAAAAATTATATCCAGTATATATTTATAATTATCGCTACGCTATTATCATTTAGAAACAATGCTTAACGTTAATAATTTTTCATAGTTTCTTAATTTATCACATGTATATAAAAAAAGTTTGTCAGTTTACACTTTACCAAGCCTCAAAAAATATAAACAGTATAAACCTATCACGTGGCTAGTAATGAGTAATCCTTTTATCACGAACTTTTTTCGAAATAAACCATTGTAAATTTTACTATTACAGTATTATTAATTAACTTTGGCTACACTGCTTTAGATATAAGGTGAAATTCACGTAAATTTATAAATTTATCAGAAATTTATTTTTTTATTACCTTTACCACTACCGGTATGAATACGGGATAAAGCAATTACTTTATCAAAGTCAAAGCAGTTTTTCACTACTATTCTATAATTTGGATTTAGAGATTGTGAAACACTCGAATTTGCCCAAGAAAACACAGAATTCATATGTGTGGTTATCTGTGTTTTAAATTTACTTAGAATCCTATATCCATTCCCTTCTTCAAATCGAATAAACTCTTGTCTAGTTGAATTATCTAAACTATCAAAATTTGTACAAACTCTCTTTGAAGATGAAAATGAACTACGAGTAAACTGAGTAAACTCGATTTCTACTTGTGGTTCAAGAATGCAGATATTTTTAAAAATTATAGATTCTATCAAATAAATAAAGTCGTTCAATAACTTTATGCCTTCCTTGTGAGCAAGGTCAAAGTCAATACGGTTTACTCTTGAATTAATTTGAAAATAATCAATTTCCGCGTTTAATTCCGATTCGGTCACATGATCTCCTCCGTAACTTAAAAACAAATTTATTTAAAACATGAAAAAAATATCTGATACATCTTAAAGACAAATAAAAATTAAAATTAAACCCTTACAGAATCTTGCCACCATTTCGATAAAATTCCATTATATAATGAAATGCATTCCCATTACGATCAAAAAAGTATTCGTTTTTA